TACTTATGGAACCCCAATGTTTGCGAACTTACCTCATTGCTTAGATGTATCAAGTGAATTATCTTAAATTATTATTGAAGACACACTCTTAAAAATCAGAATATACTTTTTAAAATATCAATAATTTTGATAATTTTTGGAAAATGGAGTCATTTATTGAAACTCTGAAGTTCACCATGAAACTTGTAAGTGCTATGTCTTGAAACATCTAAATAAGACATTTATGATTATCCAGCAAAGGCCTTAGCCAGTGAAGTCGTATTACTATATTTCACAGCTCTGGTACATAACAAAAGGGAACATGGGATTGGATTAAACATGGAGGTGTGTTATAGTTATTATGTGCAGGTCTGCATGAATACATAGTGACCTCTGAATGAGCAGCAATCCTGGCTGACCACGTTCTTACCCCTATTTAGGTAGGATTTTAAGTAAGAAGACAGAATGAATACTTTATGCCTTTCTTTTTTTCCTTTCTGTAGAGCTAATTTAATTAGAATTAGAGTAGCTCATTAAACAATTGTGTCTCCAGATTTTAATTTCAGTTATGCACTTTGTATAAGTAAGGCTATAGGTGGGGAAAGCAAAAAAAAAAAAAAGAGAGACCATTTTTCCTCATTTGTTATATAAAATCTAAAATTTAAGAGTAATTGAGGCATGACATACTTATCTAATACAGTTACATGTTTTCATTTTAATGCTTGTGGATTGAAGATAAGAGTCTCTCCAGGACATACTGATGCAGCTGTAGGCTTCCCCAGTATTGTTTCTTGCATTTTTCCCATCATTTCTGAAATAGATGTTGATAATTAGAATGTCATCTATTAGATCTAATCCGAGTGTAATGTTAGGGAGCGGGTACTACTTGTGACAGGGAACCTGGGAAGTTGTTTATGAAATATTGGTGGGAGACGTCTTCTTTAAATCAGACTTGCCTTCAGATATTGTCTGACTTCTATGGCATGGGGAAGAAGTGAGAAAAAGACTAAAATCTTCTAAGATCCTCATTTATGGCTGCAGTGGAATGAAGACCCAATCATGCAGAACTAGGGGAGCCAACCGTATTGTAGACGTGGGTACCAGATAGAACTGGCAGCAAGTGTCTAAGGCAATGATGGTAGTAAATTCAGGTTCCCTTCTGCTTGGTGTTAAATGTTTAATTTTGGGAGAGAAACAAGGCAGTGATTGTCTCCAGGCAGGGAAAATCTGTATGGTTAGCAGGTGTGCTAATTAACGGGGGACTTCTAGTATGAATCAGAAGGGGACAGATTGTCAATGGCCAGAGGTATAGAGGAGGGCTCTGGGAGAATGCCACTTAACCAGAAAATGAAGGCAGAAGCCTGCCCTTCAAGCTGGGTAAACAGTGGAGATTAGCAGAGTAAACAGAAATGCTTTAGTTGAAGAGCACAAATATATTTAAGTAATTTATTTAGTTCAAACCAGCTCCAAGAAATATTTGTGAACATCTATAATGCTTCGAGGGTCAATTAGACCTTGTGGGTCAATAGAAAGACCACTATGAGGAAGTCCTTACCGCTTGTTGCTTACAGTCTTTGGGGTGATATAGATCTGGAAATAGCAGAATTATATAAGCGCTTGCATAAGAACACTAACAAAATTACATATTTTGAATTTCTTGCAAAAATTAACTTTATTTCATAGTTACTGGAGAGGCATTGAAGTTCGAGGGCAAGTAGTTATAGACAACCTGTTCTGTGGTTGTTCGTTTCAAACAGTTTATATCTGGTGGAGGTGTAAAGTACTTGAGAAATGAAAAGGGCCAAATGAGGGACAGTGGTTTTGAAAATGTGAAAGAATGAATGGGAAATGACCTTTCACAAGCAGTGCAGACACATTTAGGGATAATTGAGAATGCAGTAAAAATATGACAGGAATTCACGCAGATGTCAAAGGTGTTATTACTACCCATTATTCCCCCTAAGTGCGATGTGAAATAAAAGGAGGTGATCCATGATGTTTATGCTTGGACTGGTTGTCGCCTTTTTCATTTTCTCAATGTGTAGGAAATTTTGAGTTTGTTTTTTTCTATTGAATCAGGGAATTTGAAATGCTGCTGTTTTCAGTACTAGATTTTTAAGTGCTGAGACAAAAATCATTTCTACTTTCAACATATTTGGCCAGTAGAATTAAATAAACAGGGGGCTCTTTCTAAAAAATCCTAAGAGGATAAAATGCTTTTGGTACTGTGGTAACTATAAACAATTATTTTAACCTGTATTCTAGCAGTGAGGAGGAACATTGAGGGATCAAATGTCTTTTATGTTTATCAAAATGAAGGAAATATGGTCGTTTAAAGGACAAAAGATGAGACAGTAGAATCTATTTTTAAAAAGTCTGTATTAAGAGAAAAGCAGAATTCTCTCCCTGTGGAGAGGCAGCCCCTTGTGTTTTCTACCTGTCTTTTTCATAACTCTCTGTCTGCTTGTGTGCAGACATAGTCATATACATTTACAAACAACAAGGAAACATTGGAATATGGGCAATATAGAATGTGTTCCCCAGTGTTGATGCAAATCACACATTAGATATGCCATGATGGTTTTCTAATTTTGTAGTGGTCCAAAGATGGAGTGAGAGCCTACTGGCTAGCTGTGTGTGAAGCTCCAACCTTCGCACTGCACAAAGACTTAAAATACTACTGCTAAACCAAATAAGTGTTGGGGGGAGGGGGAAAGGAAACTAGCAGGAAGAAAGGAAAGAAGGAAACATGAAAATCTTATCAATCAGATACTAATTATATATCTGTAATAACCTTGAAATTATACTATGTGTTAACTTCTTTCTTATTCTGACTCTTCTACTATAATGTAGTCCCCACGAGGGCAGAGATATTTGTCTTTTATTCAGTGATATGTGATGAGTAGAAATTGCTCAATAAATATTTGGATAAAGAAATGAATAGATGAATGAATTTTGTATCTCCTTTGGCTATGACACTTGTTAGAAAGAATATGCAATTTAACTATAATGAACGTCAGTAACCACAGGAGTTTGTAATTTAAAATGGTTAATGTAGTGCATATCACATATAATATTTTATAGGAAAAAAAGTCAATGATAAAGTAGAGGTAAAGAATTATGCTTTTAATTTTATTTTCTTTTTTTGTTGGGCTGTATGATTATAAGGTGATGTATATAATTTAAAGCTGTGGAAAAAAAACAAATGAAAAACATAAATATAAAACAGAATTGACTTTGACAATAAGAGAGAAGCTTCCATCAAGAAGTGGATAAAATTGAGTGAAAGTTTCTTTGCAGTCTAGCTCACCTTTAGTCATGGTACTTGCATAAGTAGCAATTACTTGATTACGTTTTGTGATTCAAAACATATATGGGGGGGAGAGAGAGCGAGAGCGAGAGCGAGAGCGAGAGCGAGAGAGAGAGAGAGAGAGAGAGAGAGAGAGAGAGAGTGGGAGAGTTTATTTTATGAAATGCTTCAAATATACAGAAAAGTAAGCATAAAAATATAACACATACATAGGTACTCAACACCCATATTGAAAATAAATGTAATAAACACCCAAGTACCTCCCATCCATATTTAACAAATATTTTCATTTTACTTTTTGATTCAGATTTTTAAACAGAAATATAACATGTCAGGGTTGAAAATCTCTTTTAACCGTCTCCAAACAAAAGTTTGCTTTCCATGAGATTGCAAAATGAGCCTTGTTATTACTTGTGCATGAGTTTAAATAATTTTAATATGCTTTTTAAAAATTTCAAAGCCATTTTAATGAATAACAAAAATATTCAGTATAGTGTTTTATTTTCATTAAAAAAGTTTAACTGTGTAAATTGTCAAATGACAGAAATTTTTGCAAGGCTAGGAATGATTATTTCAATTTATTTTCAAACGGAAATTGTTTACAAATAAAGGGTATGTTGTTTTCCAGTCTAACACTTCACAGTTTTGTACTGTGGAAATTTTTGGTACCTATGCTCTGTATATTTACTTTGTCACCATGTAGAATTCTGTACAAGGAACTCCAATGCTAAACCGGTAACACTGGTTACTTTGGGTGAAGAAGATTGGATAATGTAGGATTTACCATTCTAAATTACTTTGGTAATATTTAAAATTTTGTATAATGAGCATATGTTATTTTGGAATTTTAAAAAAAGGTAACTATTAATCATAAGTACTTTTAAATTGTCTTCTAATGTATAGTATTAACTTTAACATCTCCTTTTCACAATTGCTGTGATATGAAAAGAACAGATGCACTTATACCGATACATGCATATATGATGTATATCTCACATCTAGACATATCTCACCAGTCAAATAAGTATATTGCTCTTTTTATCATATTCATAAAAATTATAAGGAAATAATGCTTTCTCTGCTAGGTCATACTATTTGTGATAATTTGAGGGGATGCCATTATTTTTTCTATATTTTCTTAACAGAGAATGTTCTTTTCAACCCAGCATGGTTAACACTTTTTGTTTTCACACATTTGATTATGTCACCTAGAAGAAGTAATGCTTGCTAATTTAAGAAATTAACAATATGTTAATAACTTGACAAGCCTACTCTGGCTTGTATAACTGAAAACTGTTTATGAGCCATCAGTGGAGAAAAGAGCTAATGTAACTGATTTATGAGATCTAATATATTTTATAACTCATGGTTTTATTTATGAAATGAATACCTGGTTTTCTAGTTCTAGGAGTCATCAAACTTGGAGTAAATCAAAGGCAAAGAATAACAAAATTAACTTTAGAAGAAAAAGCACAACTATGTGGATTTTTACTTTTTATTTTCCTTAAACTGTGGAGTGCTTAAGTCTCTGAGGTTCATTAATTATATTTTAATGTAATTAACATTTTAATATTTTAACAAATTAAAGTGATCTGCATTTTCTTTTGCATGATGAGAGACATAATTTCAAATGGTACCAAGCATTTCAAAACTGTTTTTGTGTTTTTATATTGTGATTACCTCAGTGACCATTGTTTTATATTATTTCTAGATAAAAGAGTGGCTCTGTTTAAACTGTCAGATGCAGAGAGCTCTAGGAGGTGATTTGGCTCCAGTTCCATCATCACCCCAGCCCAAACCGAAGGCTGCCCCAGTTACTCCTCCATCAGCAGTGAGCAAACCATCCCCACCGTCACAGCAGATTTCTCCAAAGAAGGATGCTGCACCCAAACAAGATATCTCAAAGGCAGCCGAGTCTAAAAAGCCCCCACCACTGGTGAAACAACCGACCCTTCATGGTCCTCCCCCGGTCACAGCCAAGCAGCCTCCTGTGGCTGAGCCCTCATCCAAGCCAGCCCCTCCCAAAGAGCCTTCTGCCCCATCGGAGCAGGCCAAGGTCCCCATGGCTGATGAGAAACCAAAGCAGCCCAAGACAGGAAAGCCAGCAACAGACATTGTGTTTTCATCGTCAGTAGCAACAAAACCTGATAATCCAAGTTCCAAAGTACAGTCACAGGATCAAGAGAAAACAACCCCTCCGCTAAAAACAGACTCTGCCAAACCCTCCCAAAGTTTTCCACCAACGGGAGAAAAGGTCACCCCATTCGATTCTAAAGTCATACCTCGACCTGCGTCAGATTCAAAACTTATTTCCCATCCTGGGCCTAGTATGGAGAGCAAAGGTCAAAAACAAGTCGCTCCAGCTCAAAAGAGGGAAGACCCCAAGAAAGCACAAACCAAAATGAGTCCTAAGCCAGATGCCAAACCAATGCCAAAAGGGTCTCCAACCCCTCCCGGCCCACGTCCCACCACTGGCCAAACTGCCCCCCCATCTCAGCAGCCAGCAAAGCCTCAGGAGCAGTCGAGACGCTTCAGTCTGAACCTGGGAGGCATTACTGATGCCCCTAAATCACAGCCCACCACTCCTCAAGAATCTGTGACTGGGAAACTCTTTGGGTTTGGAGCCTCCATCTTCAGCCAGGCATCAAATCTCATCTCCACAGCAGGCCAGCCTGGATCTCATTCACAGAGTGGGCCAGCGGCCCTGACAAAACAAGCCCCTCCTCCTTCACAGCCGCCTGCTTCTCAGGGGCCCCCCAAGTCTATGGGCCAGGCACCGTCAGCACCTGCAAAGGTTATACCTGGGAAAAAGGAAACAAAAGCTCCGGTCGCTGAAAAATTAGAGCCCAAGGCTGAACAAGTTTCAACAGCAAAAAGAACAGAAACAGAAAAGAAGCCCTTGCCTATTACCAAGGAGAGCAAACTGCTAATAGCTGAGCCTCAAAAAGCTGCCCTACCCGACAAACTGGAGAAAACCCCCAAACCGGAGTCAGCCTGTCCTCTCTGCAAAACTGAACTCAACATAGGTTCTAAGGATCCTCCTAACTTCAACACTTGCACTGAATGCAAGAATCAAGTGTGTAACCTCTGTGGATTTAACCCTACACCACATTTGACTGAGGTAAGCAATATTTATTACATATGCATGTGAGTTGATATTATATATTCTGAAATATTTCGGTAGCCAAATTTCTGAGCAACAAATATATTTCTAGTAAAGAAAGCAAATTGATGTTGATATCTTAGAAGTTTCAATTCCTTATTACAGGCTTTCTTATTAAAAGTTCATAGAATTTATATTTTGGGGGATTAATGCATCAGAAATAAGACTATGAAAGAAGATGACAGCTTAAAATAACAGTGATCTCAATCCTTGATGTATTAACCACATACAGCTTTGGAGGACTATATGTCACTTACAAACATCAAATAAGAGTTGGCATTTACTATTTCCGATGTCTGTAATCCTTCTAGTCTCTTTAATACATAAAAAAAGTTTGATTGGAGATCCATAAACATTTACAAAAATTGTTAAGAACTTTGTGATGGGAATAATATTGTCAACTAGGAAATATTGGTGCGAGTATATTATGTCTAGTCTTTTTATAGTTCTGTATAGCTATTAATGTGGCATAAATATAATGGAGCACTTTATTAAGAACTGTGGAAGTAAAAAAATGATATATGAATTCCATTAACTAATGTCAAGGATTTGTTTTGTTTTTACGAAATGACAAGGATACTTTTTCCAGAAAGTAAAGGACCAAAAAGCAGATAGAAAATTTCTACCTAATATAGTTATAAAATGATGAATCTTTGAGACTTAGTAATGTGTTAGGGCTATTAGAATTTTGGCTCTGGGAGACCGATGGGTTAAATGATTGCTGCTATCTTAGATAAGTAACAACAGTGTTTTAATAGACATTTTGGGATTGAATTTTAAATAACTGTTCATCGTTTTTATACAAGTAAAAAATACTTAAGGACTATTTTATTTCATGCTCCTTGATTTTATTATTCATTGGAACGAAAAAGTTGAAGAGATTTTTTAGCAACTATACGAAAGAAGCTTTGAAGATACTTGGTGTTGTTTTTGAGTTGATTTTTTTCTGAAAGAATAAATGATACAATATGTATTTTTTTATTATTGAAACATGTTAGGTTGCTGTGATATAATTAACTCCATATAAAAGTATTATCCCTACAGAATTAAGCATATTTTTATTCTCTTTAACTGTGATGAAAAATGTTAACTAAGATCCATTTTAAAATTAGTTAAAATTTGGTTTCTTTCAGTATGTTATGAGTGGTAACAAATATAATTTTTAATTACAATAATATTTTTTACAAGAGTTGTTTTTGGTTGTTTATTCATGAAGAGGGAAATTTTGGTTTTCCCAGTAAACAGGTCCTCGAATAATGGCATTTTGTTCAAAGTCGTTTTTGTTATAATGTTGATGAGAAAAAAATAAGATTGATTCCTGGCCAGGGCCACTGTCTGTGTGGAGCTTATAGGTTCCCCCCCATGTCTGCATGGGTTTTCTTGGGTGACTCCGCTTCCTTTCCACATCCCAAAGATGTGCACCTGAGGTGAACTGGTTTGTCTAAATTGTCCCAGCCTGAGTGAGTGTGGGTGGGTGTGACTGTGGGTGGGTGGGGGTGCGCTCTGCTATGAAAGTGTGCCCTGCCTGGTGCTCTGAGCTATCAGGAGAAGCTCCAGCCACCCATGACCTCAAACTGGAATAAGAGGGTTGGAAAATAATTATCTTACTTGTTTTTACTACTCTTTCATTAATGTATGTATAGTTCACATTTGTTTCAATGTTTAATATTAGAAGTACTTTGGATCTTTAGAAATTTGGTGCTATTTTGTGACCAGAAGGAACTTAACTCTTGTTTACATTCATTATCCTATGGTAAAATCGGCTTTGTTATAGTTTGTTTTGCTTAAAGTTGCAGTTTCCAAGAACCTAGCAACAACATTTTGGATTTAGTGTACAATTGTATTACTTTAATAGATTTAAAAAATTGTACCATTTAATGAGGAGTCTTATGATATCAACACCATGCAGTTAATCTAAATAGTTATAAAACAAACTATACCATTAAAAACTAAATGTCTGTGTTTATGTGTTTTGGGTATATTAAAAAGTGTATTGCAGAGAGAGAACTATACCTTATATATACGTATGTGTATACAAATGTAAGTGAACATATTTGGTCCATCATGATTATTAGAATTTTGTTAGTGTTTGGAGCTATGAAATGAGAGCCCTGATTAAAGAGACAATAAACCTTTCACAAAAATGTTTGATTTTCTAAGTGTTGGCAAATTATATATTAAAGGTGGTAATTTGGAAAGCACATTTATTAAATAAAGCAGAGATTATCTAGGGCATTATGGAATTTCAATAGTTTGACAACATAAATGGTTTAGGTGAAGTCCGGTTTTAAATATGATCGGTGGTAGTCAGATGATCTGTCATTGTTCATATTATTTTACTCTGCGGCAATTTGTTTGAATTTGGAAGATCATGTTTCAGAAGAGAAAAGAAATTGATGTAACAGAAGCAGTGGATTAGCGTTCTTGGCCCAATTTGACTATGCTACACAAGTCATTTTCAGTTACTGTAAGGCCTCAATGCCCTCTGGTCTCTAGGAAAAGTCCATTAGCTGATTTGGAATCGGTGAAGATTAGTTGAGTTAATCCATGTTCAAATATATATATATATATATATATATATAAATTATTATTATTATTATCATCATTATTATTTTTACCTAAGGGACTGGAAGGAGGGGTTAGTTGAAGAGAAAGGCACGTTGTGTTTGCATGCGTACGCGCGGGCATACATATACAAATATATCCAGGAAATTGTAAGCATGTTATGTAAACTTAACTCATGGTGCTATCCCAGTGTTCATGATACGAACCTGTCTTCATTTTGAGTGGTTAGGAAAGCATCTCTCCCCTGGTCCTTGTTTAATTTATATGGTTTCTTCATTCTACTCGTGATCCAGTATTTTCTGCTGGGCTGGCACTGTACTTTCATTGTAGTTTTAGAAAATACCTTCTGAAAACACTCAGATTTTATGCCTGCAATGTAAAGGGATGATTTTCCTCAAGAAATGATTTAACTATGTCCACTTATTTTTCTAATAAAACACATTTAACTCTATTATAAGCCTCTGCTTCTCCTGCGCTAATCTGTGAGACAGGACTTCTTTTTTTGCTGGGCCGTCTCTGCCTCACCTCTTACTGTTCTGTTCCTCTGGTGGTGGGAAGAGCTGGTCCTAGTTTGTCATGGGTCAGGGAGCTGTGAACAGCACTCCTTCCTTGCCCTTTAATCAAACACACCTGTCTCTAAGGTTGTTTCCTGTGTTGTGCTCACCATCCCCCGCAGCACCTGAGGGGTGCCCAGGCCTGCCTGCAGGGCTCTGGGGTGCAGCCAAGCCTCTGCCTCAGCCTTATGGTTTAACTGTTTGATGCCCCGTTTGTATAAATGGTACTATTAATATAACCCCTTAACCTCTGCTAGCAAGGAACAATTCTTTAAGGCTTTAATTTCTGCCAACTCAGGGAAAATCTTATCTTGGAAGGAGTTTTAAAAGCTGTTTAAGGCTTTCTGAAAAAGCATTTCAAATTTGGAAGCATGCTGAGCAAGACATCTGAAATTGGCAATCAATTTACCTAGTTTTAGTCATTCTGGCTCAGTTCAAATGCAAAAAGGAGACAAGTCATAGTGGGTATTTTATTGTTTATACTACCCTCTTCAAAAGTAGCTTTTTACTATGAAAGTAAGACTTAACAATATATTTCCTCATGTTTTAGGAAGTCCTAGAAGTCATACTTTTGCTTCCTTAGTAAGATAATTATGCATAGCCTAAATGATGTAGGAATAATTAGCATATATTTGTCACTAGGCAACAGATAGGCCTTTTGAGCCAAAAGACACAGTGGTATAACTGAGATTCCCTTCAGATCTTTACTCTAGCCAGGTGGCTTCTGCATTCTCTATCATATACACAAAGAAGGCCTAGTGGGGATGTGCTGCATGTCTTAATTTGGCAAACACATAACGCCTTGCCTTAACTTTAAAGATCATTACTTAAGGCTTTAAAATCATATATGTGTTACTGAAAAGCATTTAAGTATGCGTGTGCATGCGCGCATGCACACACACACGAGAAATTAGACTGGAAGAATGATAAATCAATAAGGCCAAAAGAATTCTACCAATAATCAATTTCAAAATAATTACATATAATAGAGATCTGTATTCTGAGTAAAAACTTCTGGCATGCATGGCAAAGGGGGATGGACACCTGATGGCAGTTTTTTACTGGCATAAGAAAGCTGACAAGTTTGTCTACAGAAACAAAATTTTTGTTTTTAATTATTAGGAGAAATTTGTTGTTACCTTTTTATCAACTTATAGTTGAAAAAAATCCAAATATAGATTTAAAATAGAAATATTTTGTGTGAACAAATTGGAACAAAAATTAATTCATTAGTTTTTTTAATGCATTTTTACGTAATTAATATTCTATTCTGTGTGGTTGTTGTGTATCCCAATATTAACATATGATTATATAACATTTTCCCACATAATTAAGCACCTCTTAAATGTTATACAAAATGATTAAGTATTACTCAGTTCTATGGGTGTATTTTTTTAATACACATTATCTGCATATTAGAGATTTAGGTTATTTTCATTTTTTTAATTTTAAGTAAGATAAACATGTTTGGATATAAATATTTGTGATTTTAACTGTTTCTCAAGAAAAGCTTACTAGTACCAGGGTTACTAAATTAAGGGATAAGGACCTTTAAGTATCAAATTCTCTTTGGAGATGTCGTAGTAATTGACCTTACCACCTCTAGTGTATATGATTGCTTTCTTACTGCAGCCTCTCCAAACTTGAATAATATTATTTAAAATGTTATTTGTTAATTTGGAACTGTAAAAGTACTATAATAGTGTTAGTTTGATTTGTATTTCTTTGACTACCATTATTTTATCTATATATTAAATATAAATAGATGATTCTAATTATGATCTAGGTAAAATATCGTGTAGACATTGTGGAATCAGGTAAGCTGACATCAGTCATGTT